GAATTGAAGACAAATGGTTACTGTTCAGTTACACTACTGATAACGGTTCAGATGCTAGCTAAAGAATCTAAAATAAGTTATATATGATCCTTCTGCCGTATCAGTGATAACCGTCTGTGGTGATTATCGCTTACGTATACACACATATTTAACCGTTTAATCTATTTATTCATTTATTTGTTTTTTTGGTAGTTTAACAGAAAAATCAAAGATAATCTTATGAAAGGACATTAACAGTCTTAGGAAATTAGGTGGACTGAGTAATAACTAAGTAATTCTTGCTTAAAAAAAGGTTTCTTTGCTTGTTCTATCTATATTTTCTCATAAAAAATTCCAATTTGTTTTCTACCTTCTTTTTCTTCTACTTCTTTTTTTTTTTGGTCTCTTTCTTCTATTGATATATATTTCCAAGTTTAACTATTTAATACTTTTTTCTTAATTTGGTATTGCTGATTAAACAGTTGAGCAGCAACAGTTACATCAACGTTTATGTTATCTTCTGTTTGAATTTTTGATTGCCTATCGATTAAGATAGTGGCATTCACGTTTTGAAATTTTTCATCTCTATTTTTTCTTTCTTTTCTTTCCTGTTTTTTACTTTTATTTTTCTCCTTTCCTTGAAATTTGAAGGTGCAAAACTGTCGACTTTATTTTTACTGAATTGCACAAGTATTAATCTATCTGTCACTACCGGGTCCTTGAATATTTTGCTTTTAAAAAACTTCAAAAATTTCTCGTCACCGATACTGAATCACCATCAGTTTTTGCAGCCAGATTCTGTTCCACTATTCTTGCTAAATTTATAGTGATAAACCTCTGTAATTGTGCGGCAGAAGAAGGTATAATTAGTGCTATTTATAGTGTCAAAAATTTATGATCTCATTCGTTGTTTAGTGTTAAATCATTTATTGTTGGGTTTATTTGAGATTTGCAGAGGTTACGCATAACTTTAGTTTCAAATATGTATCATTCAAAGAAACTTACTGATTACCCGTTTGTCTTTTCAAATCTGGCTCAAATTCTTTTTTTTTTTTATTTTTCACTTTATTGATCTGTTCTTCAAGAAGAAATTGCAAAAAAAATTTTTCAAACAAAAAAGACAAAGAAGAAATGTTGAAATGAATAGAGGAAACAACTATGCAAAATTTTTGCATAGACAGCAACATAACTGTTTGCTTTTCAGAATTTACTGCAAAGCCATAGTATCCTTGAAACGAAAATTGAATGCTCGTTTATAGTTGAATGCTTCTATTATTTAAACGACTATATTCTATATCTTCCAAAACAAAAAAAAAAAAAAAAAA